AGCCACCGAGCTCAAAACTTCACCAGCTCCTCCCCAGGATATTTCTGACACTCAAGAGTTAGGAAATGCAAGTGAAAGCTCAACCACGCTGTTGGTCTTCCAAGTAACTGAGTCAGAGGAACTCCCTCCCATGCTCTTTCATGCTAAAAAGCAGGCGATGCACCCAAGGATGTGGGGGTAGGACATGCAGAGACGTGCCTTTCTAAACGAACTCTCTCATTAAAGGAGTTGTGAATCTCCCCAGAGGTAGGAAACCAGGGTCCAACAGGCTGGAGTCACAGCTCCCTCCTAGCACAGGGAAACTAAGGTTAAGCGACCCTCAAACAAAATAACCTCAAAATATTAAAACATTGAACTCAGAGGCACATAGGGAATGAGCAGCACAACAAAAGCAACTTTGCAGAGGTGATGCAGAAGCTACCAGAAATGAATTAAACAGCTGTAAGACAGTATGGATCCCATGGGACTTCCTGGTGCAAAGCAGTTCACAAGTTGGACGCACAAGATCCTACTGACACTGAAAACCCAGCTGTTTCTGGGACGGAACACTGTGCATGCTGAAAATCATGCAGTGACATAAGGTTGAAGAAATGAAGACCCATACAGCTGGCTGCAGGTGGCAGGGAAACCACATTTCAGCTTGGACTTGTGGGATAACCCCAAATTAGCGGCAGGGTTTGCTGCCTTCCCATTGACAGAGCCTGAGCTTGGGCTGCCAGGAGGGATGGAGAAAGCCTGAGCCCAGCTGCCCACAAGTTCCCCATTTCAGCAGGTGTTCAGAGCAATATTAAGAAATCTGCTTGGTCTTCCCTGAATAAAGAGAATTCCCCTTCACTAGTGCTAAAGAAAGGCAAGGCCACTTCGTAATCACATCATAAAAACTTACAGAAGAGCAAGACAAGTGGGGTTTTGTGTCCCACAGAGGTCACAGTACGCGAGCAGAGCAAGAACTACATGTGCTTCTGTTCTCCTGCTCTAGCACAGCCTGGCTCTCCCAGCCAGAATGGCTGACTGTGCTTGCAGGGGTCATCACTGAGACCTCAGCCGCATCCCTCTCCTTCCTTAAAGACAACAACCTCTGATCCAGCCTCTAATTTTAACCACCAGCTCTGTAAACTCGGCACTGGGTCTCCTTGCTTTACCTCCACAAACTCTACCTTCAGGTACAGCAACATCAACCTGCCATCAAGAACTGTGTTCAGCATAACTGAATCTTCTGCACTGAAGCAATAGAAGACAGAATACAGCCTTGGAGCAAGAAATGACTTAATGCCTCTGCTTATGACAACAAGAGGGAAACGTTGCTTGCTCTCCCAAGGCTTTCTCAGCCCCTCCATGCCACTGAGGCTAGGAGCTTCTTTTGGTCCAAGGCAGCAAAGGTGACCCACAGCAGAGGCAGAGAGAAATGCTGTTGACTGAGGTGAACTTCTTCATTTAAAACAAAACCAAACCCTGGTTACTTTCCAAAATAGAATCACACAGCTAGTTAGTATTAAAAATATAAAAATAAAATAAAAAAGCAGTCAACATGTGTCTGTGTCCTGCAGGAGGTACCTAACAGGCTGCTTGAACCCTGTCCTCTACCTAGAGAAGGCTTTCAATCCTTCTTAGCACACTAAAAAGGTCGGGCTGAGGATGGTGAGGTCACGGAGGGACTTCCACCAGATCTCCAAGGACATTCCCGTGCTGTCAGTTCCTCATGCAGATCCCGCAGGCGCTGCGCAACCCACTGCTGCGCACAGCCTGCTCCCGTTCTCACCATTCCCGGGTCTCCCAGACAACCAGCAGCCCCTTCCCTGGGCTCCCCCACTGCTCCTCCAGCAGGCTCAGCGCTGCTGGGGAAGCGCATTAAAAGGAAGGCAGGTTTCGTGCAATTCATCTGCAGCCATGGGGAGTGGCTGACAAGGCAGAAGAAGCCAGGAGAGCTCTGCCAGCCCGGCAGATCAGCCCTGCAGTGCCTGGGTGGGAACAGCTGAGCAGGCTGGCAGGGAAACAAAACATAGGGTGGTTTGCAACAGTGCTAAAAGCATTCATCAGTATAAAACAGGGGGCACAACCACAAAAGGCTCCCCCAGCAAATGCAGCCCAGAGCTGCTGCTTGCTGGAGCACTCTTGCTCTGCACTGGCAAACGATGAGGGAAGGAAACAGGAATTAAAGGTGGGTTTTAGCCTTCTCCCAGCACAGCATACCAGTAGTTTCACCTGCTTGTCCTGGTGAAACCTCCCACAGGCAGATGACCACAAAACCATAAATCCAGGATACTGTCCATCAAGCTTTGATCTGCATGGGACCTTGCCTGTAACTTGTGCACAGGCAGCCAGGGGCAGTGACAGGCAGAGCAGACCCCCACGGCAGCCCACCTCCCTGGGACCAGCCACTCACCTTCCTCCAATGCTCCCAGCAAGGCTTCCTTTAGGAACCTTCTCCTCAGGCCCTGCCGATCCTGGGAGCTGAGGGCAGCAGCTGTCAACCTGCCCAGATGACAAGGGCCCCTCTGCTCCCTCCCAGCACTGCTGTGTCCTCCACACCACCCGCCTGAGGCACCGAAAGCCCTGCTCTCTGCCCAGCTAACCTTCCTGCTGCGCCTCAGTGGACATCGCTGTTACAACCCCTGCTCCCCAATGCACGTCAAACCTGCTGCATAGCAGGAGAGACAGCAAAACCCAGTGCAAAATCCTTGCTCTCCTCTCCTGTGCTGGCAGAAGGACGGACTTCAGCAAAATAACTTCTGTTTCTGCATTTCCTGTGATACATAGGAAGATGGCTCCAGTGAGCTCTACCCCACTGCTGTCAGTCACAGCCACAATCTATAGTGAAATGGCACCTCACAGGGAATTAAACTGCTGAACCATTTGCACAAAGGACAATGAGGCTGTGCATGGCCCATGCCAGGATCCTCCCCAGCACATCAGTGATAGCCAGGAGCACAAGCAGGCCCCCTTGTATGTCAGCTCCAGAGCGGATGATGCCTGCTGTGTCCCTGGGGGATTGCTGGGGGTGGCACCACCTCAGCCCTATTAATAACACAATGATAGAGTCTGGTAGTGCAGGATTTTCACTTGTAAAGGCAAGAAAACGCACAAAGACAATCTGGAAAAAAAAAAGAAATGAATGCAGTCAACTCCTTTTACCTTTCTGAACCTGCTGGGTCTGAAGTGTTAGCTAAAGAGGGAGAATAGCTTGAACCGTGCAAATCAAAAGGTTTGCCCCAAACCTGTGCTGTAGCTTTAAAAGCTACAGCAGCATTTTTCCGGCTGATATTGCTAGCAGGAATAGAGGCTGGCTGAGCCCCTCAGATAAGGAATGCTTGTCTCCCATATCAAGTTTCAGTGGCTCTCTCCTCCACAGCCAACACTCCCTTTTCCATCCGACATCCACGCTGTGCCTGTGAGCACCACGGCAAAACTGAAGCACAAAGCAAAGGCTGAAGACATGCAAAACCCTGAAGTAAACAGGACTTGTCATCAAAACACCTCTAGGGAGCAACCTCTGCTGCTTTTATAGATGTCAACAAGAAAAACCATGCCTAAAGCATGAATGAAGACCACACAGCCACTCCTGCAGCCAGCCCTGTGCAGGTGCAGGGCCTTGCCTTTAGAAATAGAAAGAAGCTGGGGATTTCTTTTCAGCACCCAGAAAGGGCGATGCAGCTGCCTGCCAGGAGGGTAAGGAGACATGATCCAAAAGCAGCAAGCTGCAGAGCTGCCAGGACAGCAGCAGCACAGCGTCAGGGCGGGATGGCGTCACCCTTAAAACAAGGCGTGTGAAGCAGAGACTTGGCAGCTGCCGTCTTGGCCATGTCTGATGGAGAGTGGCTGTCTCCACCATATCGGAGACAGAGCACAAGGTTCTCAGGGTGTACATCTGTGACTGTCACTGCCAACAGAATCACAGAATGGTTTGAGTTGCAAAGGACCTTAAAGCTCATCCAGTTCCAACCCTCCTGCCATGGGCAGGGACACCTTCCACTAGATCAGGTTGCTCAAAGCCCTGTCCAACCTGGCCTTGAAGACTACCAGGGATGGGGCAGCCACAGCTTCCCTGGCCAACCTGTGCCAGTGTCTCACAACCCTCACTGTGAAGAATTTTTCCCTATGTCTAATTGAAGTCTACCCTCTTTCAGTTTAAAGCCATTCCCCTTGTCCTATCCCTGTATGCCCTTGTAAAAAGCCCCTCTCCAGATTTCTTGTCAGCCCCTTTTAGGCACTGGAAGCTTCTCTAAGGTCTCCCCAGACCATTCTCTTATCCAGGCTGAACAGCCCAGCTCTCTCAGCCTGTCTCCATAGGAGAGGTGCTCCAGCCCTCTCGTCATCTTCGTGGCCTCCTCTGGACTCACTCCAACAGCTCCACATCCTCCTTATGTTGGGGGCTCCAGAGCTGGACACTGTACTCCAGCTGGGGTCTCACGAGAGCAGAGCACAGGGGCAGGATCACCTCCCTCGAACCGCTGACCACCCTCCATCCATCAGCAAGACACCCGCCCAGTGCCGGGGGCAGAGCGGTCCGCTAGTCCTGGGGTGCAATGTGAAGCACTCGGCAGCTGGCCCGGGCTGTCAGCGCAACGCGCGGCTCTGACACAGGAGGGGCCGAGCGGGGGCAGCGGCACGCCCTGCAGCCGCCCCCCCCGCCTCCAGCAGCACGGGGGTTGCCGCGGGTCCCGGGCCCGTCCCGCTCACGCCCCGCGCCGCCGTGTCACACACGCACACGTGCCGCCCCCCGCCGCGGACACACCTGCTCTCCGCGTGCCCCTCGCGGGGACCGACCTCCATCCCGGGCGCGCGGCGCCGCCACCCGCCGCCGCCTCGCCGCCGTCACGTGGGGGCGTGCGCCCGCCCCGCCGGCGGTGAACTACATCTCCCGGCATGCACCGCGGCCGCCCGGCAACCTTCGCGCGGCTGGAAAACCGTGGCTCGCGCCCCGCGGCCGTGCTGAGGTGGTGGCGTTATGCTGCGGCGGGAGGTTCACCGCAGTTTGCCGCCCGGAGCTCTGCGCTGCCCTCGCTGTTCTCTGCGACAGCATGTCCCCATGAGCCAGCGCCCTGCATGACTAGGTGAGAAGGGAGCAGTGGGCACTATGGGCTCCCGTCAGGCACGGCCGCTGGCGTCCTCCACCCCTCTAGATGCAGGTTCTCACCTGTGTCTATAACTCACCCCAGGGTGAGTCTATGGCTGCTTTAGGCCCCTGTAGCGATTCGCTGTGTCAGCGTGCAAATGTTGAGTTGCCAGTCGGGTTATTGACAGCCCTCCGAGTAAAGCGTTTGCACTGGGGTGTAGCTGCACCACGGTGTAAAACCACAGTGAAGTGCTGTGGTAACCGCTTGACAAATCCTGCATCAGAGGTGATGAGGAAATTGTGATGCTGAGAAAAACAAACAGGCAAGGGGTCCCTGAGAGACAGCTCATGCACATGTGGAGGCAAACAGGGGTTTCTGTTCTATCATCCACAGTAAAGTGTATGTGAAAAATACTGCAGAATTATATGTACTTTCCTCAAGGAAGATTGACATGAAACTTGGAAAAGAAAAAATGATGTTGCCGCCACTAGTCTGAGAACAGTCACTGACAAATTATTATAGGAGACAAAACCCAGATATGTCTCCAGGTACATCTGATGCCTCAGAAACCAAAGGTAGTCATTAGTACAGTAGAAACATCCTGTATCTTGTTACTTCTAACAAATATGTGTTGCTCACTGATGCTGCATACATGAAGACACCCCACTTCATCTGACATTTTCTCTGTATTTTACCAGTACAGGACTTCAGCAGCATTTGGGAGAATAGGGCTCTATACTGCTATTCTAAAAGCAGTAACAGAAAAAAAAAACAAAAAACTAGTGTTTTTGTTTGTTTGTTTTTTTCAGAAGGTGCTTAATTAAGAGCCTAGGACTCCCCAGCCATACTAACTGTGTACAGGTGTGGAACAACAGCTTCCAGCTGGTTGTGCATTGTGCAGAAGTTTTCATGCGCTGATCGGATGGGTGGAAAGCACTGGCTGTATGTGCCATGTCTGGTGTCAGGGCACTGGGCTACGCATTAACTCTCACAGTAAAAATAGTGGAGAAAATCAAGTCGTCAAGACTATTGTGATCATTGTTAGATGATCATGCCTGGTGAAGTGGAGCATGTAGACGAAGCTGCTGACAGATCTCATTTAGCTCCTAAATCAGGAATTACAAGATTCTTCTGGCTCCACAACTTAGAGGTAGCGTGGATGTTGCTTAACAGCAATTTTCAAATTCTCTTTCTTCAGGAAAATCTCTTCCCCTGCTTCATTACTGTTTTGCAAGTTACTTACAGACACTGCTCACTTAACTATTGTCCATACCTTTGTCAATTTAGAGGGCATATAAGAAATAATTCTGTCAAGAATAAGCCCAGTCACCAAGAGCCTGTAGTCACACATGGATGTGTAAGCTTCTGGGACTGTGATGAGGTTCAACTGAAGAGTCACCTTCCAGTATAAAATTTGAGGAGTGCCTATAGAGGTCAACAGTTGTAAATGTATGAAAGCATGTATATATCCTTTTGCTAAACAGTAGCAAAATCTGGAATCTCGCAGACCTGACTGCTGTTCAGAGAAGATTTGGGTGACATGAAGTCAGTTATTAACTCAATGTAATTTCTTTACTCATTAAAAGAACTTCACAGGGAAGGCAGGCCTGGAAGTTAATGGTAGTTGCTAGACAATTTCATGTGAGGAATGAGAAGCTGTTTTTCAGAGGGGTAATGCCCATGCCTCTAGGGAATGGTTTCTGCTTGGTAATTTTATCGCTTCCTCCTAAGAATTTCAGCCAGGATGTACAGCAGGTAACATCTGGTCTGCAATTCCCCAAGATGTATCATAACAACAGGGGTTACTGGGCAGCCAAGTCATGAAGTCTCATTTTTCTGAGGAGACAATAACTGTCAGTGCCACATGGAATCTTTGTTGCTTGGCTGGATGCTGACACAGTCCTGAGAGCCAGGAAGAAAATCTAGAGCTGATGTCTGTACAGTTGTCACCATGATCCCCACAGCATTTCAGCCATTTTCAATACAGAAGAAAACACTCTTCAGGATCATAACTTCTGTGTTTTTTTCTGTTGTGCTGAGAACCAGGCAGCTGGTGTCCTGTCTGGGTAATAAATGGGAACCATGGATATGGTACAGTCTGGATTTTGTCTGATTTCCACCTGTCACGAGGGCAGGCAGCATCTGCCACCTTTGCAGTTAGCATATTTGTTTTGGGTAAACAGAGCATTTGCTGATCAGTGTGACACAGTCACCAGATGGAGCTGTACCCTACAGCATTACAGGAATTTGATTTGATGTTTTTAAAATAATACCTCTTGTGACAGCTCTATTATTAGTATTTATTGGTAATCTGGTGATAGCATCTTTGCTTTACAAATGAGGCCTGACTTTAAGAACCTTAAGTCCCACTTGTCATCAATCACTTGTCATCAAATCCCACTTGTCATCTGGAGGAAAATGCATAAATTACCAAATCTGTGGCTCCAGGACTCCATGTCTGAACTTATGCTGCACATGGAGAACATAAAGAAGAAAACAGGGTGCCTCCAGCACTGTGGTCACGAGCTGCTCTTGCTCGAAAATCTCTCACTAGCTGAAGATCAGTCTCAAGAGCTGAAGATGCCATGTGACAGTAACTGAGGCATTCACTTCTACATAGTAGAAAGCAGCAAGAGGAGCATCCAGAGCTGTTATTAGCATTGTTTTAAAAGGGAAGAGATGCATAAAGAGCATAAGCAGAGAGAGCAAAGCTTTGTCAACAGTCTGTTGCACAGCACAGGGCGGTGGCCAGAAAACCTCAGCTCTCTTCTCATTCTCACTTTTCTTGATGGAACTCCAAGAAGGATGTCCGTTTCTGCAGTCAGGAGCAAAGCCCTCCATTTAGTATTATTAGGTACTTATACTAGGTATTAGGTATTAGTATTATTTAGGTATTTAGGCACAGGTGCCTCTGAGCATGGGACAGAGCTGTGCCAGAGACTGCACACACAGGGAGCTGCTTGTGGGTACTCGGATTTGCCGCAGAGTATTTGTTCTATCAAATGAGCATGTGAAGTACATGGGCAGTTAATGAAATGCAGGAGTGTCCCTGTTGCACTGAGTCATGCGTATGGAAATATTTATTCCTGTCCAAGGGTATTTGCAATATAGTCCCTGGAGTTGCAGCACTGGAGGCAGTTAGTCAAGCCCTAAAACAAGCTGTCCTTGGGTCATGTTGCAAAACCAGCTGAAGGGCAAAGGCAATCAGTTTTTGAATGGCAGCCTCAGCACAGCTCCAGGATGAAAACTCGAGGAGATGCAGGCAGAGATGCCAGGTGACTACTGCAGGTGGGGGAAATGGGTACAGATCCTATTCTCACCATTTACTGTCTGGCTTCCAAAGGCAGTCTCTGCAATCATGCGGTTTGCACACCTGCTCTTTCCTTTACTATCTCTGGAACCCACTGCCCAATTTCAACCAGCTATGAGCAAGATGTAGAGATTGCAAAGCTAATGGCCATCCGTTAGATTTAGCAAAGATAGTGTTGCAGGAGGAAAGAGCCACTGTGTAAAAGAGGTAGAACTCAGCCCTGTTGCAGCTCATTCAGCAGCTGCCAACTGACCACTAGCTATGTGTGTGCTGTTGACCCAGCAACAACAGTGCCTATATGTAGGCACAGTGCATATATATAGGGGAGGAGGGAAAGGCTTCACTAGATTCCTTGCTAAAAAATACCAAGTAGTTAATTTTTCTGAATCGTGATTCTGACCAAATGTGGGAGAAGATAACCCTGAAAAGAACCCAAAGAAAACGAAAGGTCAGTAGCCGTGCTGTTCTCGGCTTAAGTAGTAATTTTACGCCTTACATGATGTTTTGAAATGGGAACATGTTTTGAACCCTGCCATTTGAAAACATAATTCTACTAGAAACTGGACTGTGTTGGTTTTGCTGTTTACTGCTGAGGGTATTTCTCTTAGTTGCAGTGGGATGGGAGGTGAAGGCATCTTGTGCTCAGCTACTTGGCTGCTCTAGGCCAGCCCGTGATTTTACGAACTGTGGCACATCTGCCCCGGGTCCCGGTCGGACCAAACCCACCCCGACACCAGCCTTCCGGCGTCCCCGGACCCCGCTGCGGCAGGGGGCCGCTCGCCTATCCCAAGGACACCCGCTGTCCCTGGGGAAACCCTCTCGCAAGCGGCCTCCGAACCATCCGTCTTGCGGCCAGTGTCACCTCGACAGTCGCAGGGCGGGCTGCCGACGCTGGCAGCTCCAAGGGCGCGGCGGGGGTCTGAGGCCCGGCCCGCCCGGATCCCCTTCTTCCCCTGTACCTGCTCCTCCCGGCCGGCAGGGGGCGGCACGCCAGTTCCCGGCAAGAGGGGTTGAAAGGGGGGAAGCAGCTCTTCTCCCCGGCGCAGGCGTCTGCTCTCTGGGCGGAGGGGAGGTTACTGCGCACGCGTGAACTACCGGTGCCTGGGTGGGAAGGGCGCATGCGTGGCCGCACCCTGCGCATGCGTGGAGCGCTCTGCCGAGGCGGTAAGGGGAGGCAGCAGTGGTCCTGTGGGCAGCCATGAGTGGGTTCGGGGCTGTGGCGCCGCTTCCCGGGTCCTCGGCTGCGGCGGGCGGCCGGAAGGGCAGCAGCGACAGCCTAGAGAAGATCGACATGTCGCTCGGTGAGGAGAGCGCTGCTGTGGGGAGAGAGGGGAGGGGCGCGGGCTGAAGCGACCGCCCCGGCCGGGTTGGGCGGCACAAACCGACGGGCTCTGTCGGTTACCGGCGGGGGTGGGACCAAAGGGAGGCGGCTGGAGCCAAGTCGGGCGGGGGCGCAGGACCACATCACAGTTACAGCGAGGCGGGGGGTGGAGTGCGAGGTTGTTTCGGGGACCCATAGTGGCGGGGACGGGAGGCGAGGCCCGGCTGTGTCCCAGGGAGCAGCAGAGCTCCCAGGGCTCTGGGCTGGGAGTTGCTGTCACTGGCTATGGTGGCGCGGGGTTCGGCGGGTTGGGTCCCCTTTGTTCCGTCTGGGTGTCCGGAGCAGGCCTAATACCCGGGGTGCTGCGTGCGTTAGCACCAGCCAGGCCCTGCGGTGCTTGGGCCCTTTGCTGGGTGGCCCCTGGGGAGCGTTCCAGGACCTCACCTAGCGTTCATAATTGCAGGGGTGGGGTGGTTTTGTTGCCGCTCAGCTGGCTGTGACTCCTTCTTCTCAGGTTTGGAAGTCGGTAATGGCAGCTCTCCTTTGTAACTCCTTTGCAGTACTTTACCAGTCAGATCAAGCGTGATGTCGTGTCTACCACGTAGTTTCCTGTGGCAATATATTCCTTTCTCTTCTGTCCTCCCATTGGTTGTGTGTGCTAGGAAGTGGCACAACCTCCTTAGGGATCTGCAGAGCTGTGTCTGTGAGAAACTGACATTCTCACTATATATATTTCAGAGAGGGATCTCAGAACAGTTCTAGTCTGGTCTTGTGCACTGAGTTCCCTTAACAGCTGGGGACACATTTGGTGTGTTCCTGGAGTACTTGTTCCAGTGTAGTTTTATTAAAAAAAAAAGAAAACTTATTTTTATACACTACAAGACTGTTCCATGATGCTACTGGAGTGTGTTGGGTGGTGGATACTCCCAGGAGACTCACTTCAAACAGAAGAATCGTGGTGTGAACATTGTTAATGGTAGACTTAGCATTTGTGAACCAGCTTAAAATAAGTTTTGTATAATTTTTCCTTCTGTAGAGAGCCCAGTGCAATTCTTTGCTTTGGCAATAGAGATGACTTGTGAAGTGATGTTTTGAGTTTTTCTGACTGGAGTAGCATTACAGTATTCATATAAATCTAGTTTTACTTGTAGCACATTGAGTCTGTATTTTCAAAGTTACCAAGATTAACAGAGTTACTGACTCTGAGTGGCTGGTTATGTTTTCATATGTTCTAATGTTTCTTGGCCAGGTTAACCTTTTGGTTAGCTACTGCTATGTGTCCTGGACACTGATTAATAGCAGATCACAACAGACTGTTGTGGTGTCATGGTGATGTTTTGTTGTGAGTGGGTATGTCCCTTCACTTGTTCAGATGCAAGGGTAGCTTGCATGAGAACTGTGACATCCATCACTACTTTCCGCAGGTCAAAGCTGCGTGGGCTTGTGTAAGGAAAGATGAGAGGCTGTCCCACCTCTCTGTGATACAGAATAAGAAAATGTCACATTAATCTGTGTAATCTTAAAATCTAGATGTAACATTGAGTATTTTCTCATGTAGCAGTAAAGATTAAACCTGTTTTGTTGGGAATGTGTTATGTGCAACTCATCTGAAGCTAACCTTCCAGTTTGATACATTTCTCAGATATCCTTCGTTTTCCCAAATAAGAGAGTAGCTGAAACTTAAGTTCTAAAGTTTAAAAAAAACTTACAACCCTGTGTGCAGCAATAGCTAACTTGCAAAAAAGGCATTTAAGATGGAACAGAGAAGCTGAAGCAAGGATCCGTGCTCTCTGAACGTGGAGGTTTTGTATCTCAGGTACATACTCTGCTCTAACAGTTTTGGAAGTTTTAGTTTTTATTTAACATCACTTTATTAATGGTGCTGTGTTTGACTAAAGCTCCTGGTTGAGTACTGCTGTTGGCAGTGACAGTTTCTGTCATTTTGAAGTGGCTTTGGTTTCCTTTGTCATATAAAGAGGGTAGAGCTGCTTGGATGGTCCGTTTGGTAAAAAAGATTTTGGAGCAATCAAACCCTGAGTGACCTGTATTGGTATTCCTTGTCCTGCTAGGACTCTTCTGAACATTCAGTCATTTTTGCAGCAAAGTAAGCTAATTTCCTCTTAGCTTTACTTCAGCAGGATAGAAACCATTGGATAACTATGTTGTGATCTGTTTTACCCTGTCCAAGTCCATTTGAACTCTGTTAAACACAGTAACCCTGTTCCCATCTCTCCCTGGCTCAGAAAAGCATTTCCACATGTTTGTGGTAGCTCCCTGTTGAAACAATATGTTTATCAGTTGTGCTGCTCCCATGATCTAGATGCAATAAATGTAATTGACATCTTCCTTTATGGTATTTCTGTGAACAAGCTAACAGTCAAATAGAAACATGCTACATCTGTTGCTTTACTCTTATCTCCTACCAGATCAGTGAAGAAAATCCAATTGGTGTGGCATGATTTGCACTTGACAGACCTGCTGTTCACTTTTCATCTGTGTATTATCTTACACTTATTCTGAAACAGATTAATAATTTGTTCAACATTGTTTCCCTGGACAGTAGGTTGATGATTGCTTTGCATTGCAGATAACCTGGGGAGGGAGAAATCTTGCTTGCTTTTTTTCCCTTCATCTTAACCTCGGTGAACATAGGAAGATAACTGATAGGCTCAGTTCTCTCTTATGTGGTTTTTCTTAACTAACTTTATGTGGAAGAACTAAGGCTTGAACTGACTGTATGGACTCTTCAAAGTCTGGGTGTGAGATGGAATTATCTTTTCTTTAAAGGTATACAAAAAATAATGGAGTCATTCAGTTTAAAATTTAATGATGGGCTGAATACCATCATCTTTCAAGCCTGGATTTTCTGGAGGTATGCAACCACTTCTCTTTTGCTAGGTCATTATATTATAAAGCAAGTCTTATAATAAGACTAACAGGGATTGGGTGTTTTCTGGTGATAATGTTTCTGGAACCATAACTTGTATGCGCTGGCTTTGCAGGATTAACTGGTCTGTTTCCCGTGACTCCAAGCTGTGAGGGTTTTTTCTTCAGAACTGGAACGTGTCTGCAGGACATAAAATTTTTATTTTCTTCTTACAGATGATATAATTAAACTGAACAAGAAAGAAGAGAGAAAGCAATATTCTCCCAAAATGAAAAGAGGGCTTCAGCAGAATCAAACTCGACAGTTCAGGGCACCAGGCTCTAAGTGGGGAACCCAACAGCAGAAAGGTGTGTATGCCAAACATGATCTAGATGCACAATTTGTTTTTTGAGGTGAAATGTAACCTAATGAAATGTGGGGATTGCCCTGGTCAATTCAGGTGTCTTTCAAATACTATTATATGCAATTTTGATTATAATTGACTTCTTTGTGACCCATTTATGTTTGGTTTTGGTTCAGTGTGAGAAAGTCATTGACATGTTTGGCCCAAAGGGAACTTAGGTGCTTGAGGGACTCTGACTTGAGGAAGGATTGGCTTGCTTTTTTTTTTTTTTTTAGTAATTTATTTATTTTAATTTTGGAAATGGTGTTGATACTTTGTCCTTTCTCAGAAATGAATAGGAAGAGTGCTTATGCCAATGCCTTCATATTAGGAAATACGGAGGACTTGCCAGAGCTCAGAGCTTTGTGCAACAGAGCCAGCATATTTATATTTGCTAAGAAGAATTCTCTTAGCAGGTCTCCCTAAAACACCTGTTACTGCAGACTGTAACACTGGGTCTGGGATGCATAAATGTGTAGTGTAGACTGTCTGAATTGGCTTTGTTAAGAGTTTGGGATGGAGAAGAAGAACCTTGTCAGCCTTCTTAAGCCAGTGTTTCTACAATGGAATATAGAAATACAAATAGGCAGGGAGTGAGAAGAGGCAAAGCGCACAATAATAGCTTTACTGTAGATTCCCTGAGTAACAGATAAACAGAAGTCATATCCTCAGATGATTCCCAGGTTTTAGTCCAGACATGCCCAGAACTTGCTTGAAGTATAAACTGGTTTTGCTTATATTTAATATTTCAAAGTATCTGTTTAGCTCTGGATTATCAAAATATGGAAGAGTACTGTCTAATCAGAAAGCTGACCACCTCAATACGGGCTAATTAAGTGTTTAATATATGTAATTTCTTGCTCAGTAACATTCATTTAAAACAACGCATCTGTCTGGTGTATTCAGTGATCCCCATTTTATCGTTGTCTTGCTTAATGTTTGTTGAAGCAACAGCTTGTTGCTAGCATCTTAGACACAAATATCTTTGGGGATCAGTGCAGTGTTGTGTTGATCAGGGCTCAGAGGAAGTTTGGTTTTTATACAGGCCAACATGGCAGTGTTACTTGTGCGTCTTCAGTAGATTGGTGACTGCAGGAAAATATCTTGCATCTGTCAGCCTGAGTGTAAAATTACTTGTGTAGGTGAAGCGTGTAAGTGAATTTAAGTTGCAGATTATCAAATGTGGAGGCTTCTATTTATGGCTGCGGTTGTTAAAAGCAATTGTGATCTGAAGGGTCACAAAAGAAGCAAGTAATAGAATTTGGAATTTTAGGAGGAACTTGAGCTGCAGATACTAAACTAAATACAACTGTCTTGGCAGTTACTTTTCTCTCTTGGGACCTTCTTTCCTTGCCTGCCCTTTTTCTAGGAAAAAGATGACTTTTTTTTCTTTTTTTTTTTCTTTCTTTTTTTTTTCTTTAAATTGCCAGATTCATGACATGCTGAAACATTGTGAACTTCTTTAACTTCTTCAGCTTTAACTTCTCTCCCTTGTACAGCTCCACACATTTTCATTTGAAAGCAAACCTCTTTTATATTGTTTTTTGAGCAGAAGGTATAATTGAATAGTTCTTCTGAGCAGTTTAGTTATTAGTAGCTTATGACCAATAGATTTGTTGCTGCTCCATTGCCATTGAAGCTATTCTGATAAGTAGCAAATCCTGTGTTGTTTGTGGACAGCAATGGAAACCACAGATGGTCAGCAGCATTCAATTCCTTGTGGTTTTAGAATCATCTGCCAAACTCTCTGGAAAGAAGCGAGGAACTTGAGCTGGGAGTCTTTTCAGCTTTTGGTGGAAGAAACAGAGAGAGGAACATTGTTCATATAAATAAAGGTTGTCATTGGTGATACAGAAAATGCAGGTGCACAAAACCTGTGCAGCCTGAGCTAACTTAGAGGTTGTCATTCATTTGAGCAGAGTTTGGTCCAGAGAGCTTATAAGGTCCTTTTTAGCCAAAGTAACCCTGTTTCTCTGTTTTTCTATTTGAAAAGCATTTGCTAACCACCCACAAAATGCAGGTACGTAGCAGCTTCGCCATGGCAGACTTATCAAAGCTGGGTTCTGATCGATGGCTAACCTCATGTGACAGCTCATGTCTCATGGAGAAGCACAGATTTATTATCGATGCTATGAAGTCAGATATGTCAAATCTAGATGTGTCTGTTGCTGTTAAGCTGACACCTTAGTCTTACTTTCTCGAGGTCTGAGGTTTTAGGGGGGATGATACTTGGGGATAAAACTAAAACATGGTCTGTATTCATAATGTGAAGTTAAATGGCTCCAGACAGGGTTAACCAAAGCCTTGTAACTGGAGATTTGAGGTGTTTATACTACAGACCTCAAACTTACAAGCCTTTTATATTCAAAGACTGGTTTAATTCTCAGTTTTATCTGAACTGCTGTGCAGACTTCTGATTGAAAACACTTTAAATGTGATGTCATTCATATGCTGCTTAGTATGGTTTTGTGGGCCAATTGCTATGTTCTTTTTTTTTAAAGTCATGTCTTGGGAACCACTGATGTAAATAAATAAGCTTTGAAGTTGCCTTTTTTTTCCCTTTTAAATTAAACTGGTAATTTAAAGTTTGCTAAATGGGTAGGCAGCTGGGGTTTTGTTTTGGTTTGCTTTTGTGTTATTCAGCACTTAATGAAATTCCGTTTTTTAGTATTTTGGTATTTTTCTATGCCAGAATGACTAAGTCATCCCTGTAGGCATGTCAAATAACAGATTTTCAGCAGAAATTAATGAAATGAACTAAAGCAACACTAGGATCTGTATGAGAAGCTGATTATTCTTGTGCTAGAGCTTGGGCCAAACCTGCTAGAATAACTGAATGACCAAATTGTCTTTGAGTGTAATGATAGCTTCTGCTCTAAGGGCTTCAAGTGTGCAGCCAAATAACTTCCATTGCCGGTGTAGCATTGTAAAGCAATAAGCTTTTTCTTTCAATAAGGATTGTTGAACTCTCCATATTTGTTGCAGGTTATGGTATAAATCGTTTGGGACGCAGAAAGAAGATAGCAGGGAAGAAGCGTTCTTATGGAGTTGTAACTGGCTTGGCAGCCAAGAAAGCAATGGGTTCACGCAAAGGAATTAGTCCTCTGAACAGGCAGCCACTTAGTGAGAAGGTAATTAATGCAGTTCTAGTGGTTTATTTAAGAACAGATTAAAACACGAAGCATAGTGTCTTCAGAAGAGTGCTGCTGAATAGAAAATGGAGGCAATCTGGTGCAAATTTTTATTAAATTACGAATGTGTTAGCTGAGTTCTTCCTTGTTTTAAAGGGAGTGGTTAATGACTAGGTTTGAAACTTTTAACTCTAAACTAGGTTGGAAGTCATTAAAGTTGAAGTACAGATGTATATTGTGCAAGTATGGAGGTAGTTACTGTATTTTTATGAGAAAAGCTTACTTAATAGGATTTCTTGCCTTTGCATTGCAGTGATTCAACCAAAATGCAGGTGTTAAGCATGTGCCTGTTACAAAAATGGAAGCTTTTGCAAAATACATCACTCCATCCGTAGGCTGCCTCTTCTGCACTCCTCCAGTGCATTGGTGCCTGCTCCATCTCATTCAATATTGTAGAACAGGGACTGCTTTTGCATTTGTGAAGAAAAATCATTTTTAAAGATGTGTGAAGTGTGTACTTTGTCAGTTCGGGGAAATACAGGAATTAAAAAGTAACTGCCGAGCTTTGGGGGTTTTGTGTTGATTCCCCCCTCACACACACACCACCACCACCCCCCCCCCCCCCGGTAATGAGTGGAATATAGAATTCATGAAAGTGTAGAAGTTGTTTTCAAATTGTAGTAGGCTGCAAAAGGTAGGATAGGCTAAATGTATTCTATATGCAGTTTGTAAATGGGAATTGAAGGAGAAATGTTTGTGTGTATGCAGTACATGCATGCTATATATATTTGTTGGTTTTTAAGAATGCACAGCGGTATTACCCAGTTTTGAAAAAGAAAACAAACCTGCGGAGACAATCTGAAATGCAGAGAAAACAAGCTCCAGCCCTAAGGAGGCATGCCCTGCTAAACAGAAGGTAAAATACCAAGTCTGCTTTCTGAACTCTCCTTGCCAACTTCCCATAGGGAGTCTTGCTTGATAGGAGTGAGTCAAAGAGAAGATGGTAGATACCAGCAGTAGTAATACGGTCAAGACTGCCATGTATGTGAAGTTCTACAAATCTAGAAGCCAAGCATGGAACAAACAGCATCCCAATACAAAGCCAGATATTTTATTACCATGTAAAACACTCAGGAATACCTGTGTTTGTGAGCACCTAGCATACTGCCTTCATTTAAGTCATAGGCAGCCTATACTGAAATGGCCAGTACGGATTTTAGTAGCTTTGAAGTGATAGCCATGGTTTAGTGAACTTCCTAAAGAAAATACCTTTGTGGAAGCTGGTGCCATCTTCAGTTTCATAGAACCTATTGCATTTTTTGCTTGTGCTGGAATTAACATGTCTGTTATAAACTGCATTTTAACTGGTGTCCATGATGAAAATTTTCACTGAGTGACTTTATTGTGGAAACTGTTAACAAACTTTCTTTATACAAATCAAGTTGCTTCTTGGTTTTCATCTAATCAGCAATGTTTAAAGTGCTGGAGGATACCGAGTGAAGTACAGAACTGAGCTAATAACCATACTGTCCTATGACATAATAGTACTAGGCTTCTGTGCAGCAGGAGTATTTTTTTCCCCTGTATGAGTACTGTGTTTTGTTCCTGATCGAGGCAAAGCTTACTGCAATTGAAATGTTCCGCCTCAAAGAGGCAGCATTGCAGGTGTCCTTAAGGTTGTATTTGGCACTTTCCTCTCATACACTGTAGTTGCTCCAAGATGTTACCTGTGGAGCCTTTAATAACTATATTTTAATAAATATTACAGGAATAATGCGTTGTCAGCTTTTGCCAGAATTGGAAACAAACTAAATCAGCAGAAAGAGACTCGTCAAGCAACTTTCCTGTTTAGAAGGGGCCTGAAGGTAATAAAAATCACTGAAAATGACAATAACAAAGAAAGTGCCTCAGGTTCTAAACTAACCTATAACACTGGTATTAATGAACTGACTTTGAATGTTAGATCTGAGTAGAAACTTCAGGTGGGTTAGGAAATAACTACCGGTTCTTCTAGGGAAGTGTACTTGTTGCCTTTAGTTACTGTAATCTACTGAGTATTGCTTCCTGTTCCAGTGTAACTGGATTGTTCAGAGGGGCATGGAACTCATTAGTGTTTGAGGATGGTTGCAGAGTATTAATTTTTCCTTTTAAAAGGTCAATGTTAGCACTTTGCAGCTTTCAAAAGTTGCTTTCAGGTGAATATAGGAGAAGCATATTTTAGAATCTGATTATGGTTGGGGGAGGATTAGTTACATGAGGTTATTTATTTTTGTTGTTTGAGTTGTTAGTTACTTAAGGATTTTATTTTTTTTTTAAGTTATTTTGAATAAGATCAAGAGAACAGAGAGTGTGCAGTGAATGATAAATGGTGTTTTCAGTTTGCCCTCATTCTATATCTGCCATTGTTGTGACTGTAAGTAGCTGCTGTATTCCAGCCACACAGATTGTAGAATTACAGACAGGGTCAGGAGGAAGAAAAATAAAACAAAAGTCCTTTAAAACAGCTGTGAGTGTGTATTGGATATTATGTATGTTAACATTGATCAGATTAGGAGCTAACTAGGTTTTTCTCACTGGCCTCGTAAGGTTTTGGTGTATCTTGATACAGCATATGTTTGCTGACATAGTCTTCCAAAATGTTTCCATCTTTTTATTGGTGAAGTTACTGTCATTAACAGTTTTGTATAAAATCATTGTGTTCTTAAGTTCTTTCCAGTGTCTTGCAAGGGTAATAGGATAGTTATTTTTTAGGATAGATAGGGTAGGTCTTTAAAGTCCCTGTGAAAATGCAGCTGTTTTTGTCCAGAGTGTACAAATGGTTTTAAACTTCTGTTTTTGAACTTCTCTATTTCCAGCTGCTAAAATAGGAGTCGAAACAGTATTCAAATCCAGTGTCTGTTGATGTGTTTTCAGGTACAAGCCCAAGTGCAGTCAACAGATGATCTTGATAATCAGATAGTAAAGAGAAGTCGTCAGTAAGTATGTAATTTGTAAAACTTCAGTTTAGTTACTGGTACGAGTCTCATTTTAGCTCTGCCTTCCGGGTTATGATAATTGAATGGTTTTTCTTTTACCCTGTATGCATATCAACTGAGTGACAGTGATCCTTCCCCTATTCTCAGTTATTTCCTAAATTATATTCTAATTTAACCAGGAGGAGTTTGGTTTTGCTTAAGACATTTACAGGAATAAAGGGGAAAGAGGGAGCTTCAGAGGATCAGAGTAGTCTACCACTTGTGAATACTGCATAGACTGTAAATAAAAAATCAAATGTTAGTGTTCTCCTGATCTCTTAATGTAATTTCCATTTTATTGAGTACACATATAAGCCTATGAAACAGTTTGGAAATAAACAAAGCAGGTCACAGGTGGACACTCAACTCTCCCCACACATATTCTTCCCATATTGTTCCATGCTTGCTAGGCTCTTCACAACTTTATTGGTAACACAACAGGCTGAGTAAGCAGTGTATGCCACAGACCTGAATCTGTCACCTGTTTGATTTGCTGTGAGCACCATTTTAGTCCCATCTGTGACAAGGAAATGGAATATTTTTTTAAAAAAACAACACCACAACATTTCAGTCAGTGCTGCAGTTCTAGTACACCTTGCCAGTGTGTAATGTAGCACTCACCTGCATAGGTTTAGAGAGTGTAAAAGATAAAAGAATCAATAGCCAAACTTCTTGTAGATTGTTCGACTGCATGTGGTCTTTGCACTGCCCTATATTTTGAAAGCTTGCACGTTCTTTACTAGCCCAGTGTTTTGGATGCACATTTAAAGATATTCTGACTTAAATTTCTGTATTTTTTTGTAAGTGACTTCTGTGTTTTCCATCTAGATGGCGAACTTCTACCACAACTGGAGGGATTCTGACTGTGTCTATTGACAACCCAGGAGCCATCATAACCCCAATGTGAGTTTTCAAAAAAGTTCTGAAATGTTTTTAGCTTAACCAAAATTGCTGGTCTGGGCCATTCAGCAAGTTCCTTGCAGGTAGTATTTCAGATGACCTCAAGGTCACAGCTTCTTGAGAAAACTTTAAGTCTGGCACCCCTCTGAGTGTTTCTGAACACTGAATAATATCACAGCTGGATTTAACTAGACGTATCCCAGTTAGGAGCTTGATGTTGTGTATAGACTCAAAGAGTGGCGGGCTGGTAAATTTTCACCTTGTCTGTCTCTTCCCAATCAGATTGTATTGCAGCTGTTTTGTGTGAAAAGGAATGAGCATCTAGTTGATGAGTGATGGTAATAGTTCCTCTGTGATTCATAAAAATAGTTCTGGAATTGTGCTTAAGGAAAGCATTACTGTCTTTGTCTTTAGGAAGTTGATGGTACTGTTGTTTCATGAGGTGTTTTATTTTAAAGTAGCCTTTTGCATTAGTAGCATTTTAATTCTTTTTGTATTTACGGGAATCCTTAACTCCAAATTATGTGTTTGTCAGAAGGAGTGAGAGGTAAAAGATTACTTCCTGTCATGACACTCGCTATCTGATTACAGTAACAAATGGTACCTTTTTATAGTTCTGCATGAACTTTTACCTTCTTGAATTTGTACCTTTCAGCTATTCAGCTACTCTGATCGAATGGCTTGATGAAAAATTCATACATCTATCAGCATTAAGGTTTTACTACATAAAACATATATTCACTCTGTCCTTTGTACCATTCTTCTTTCACAGTTCCCCAAAATTGCGATTAACTCGTACTCCTGTGCCACCATTTCTGATGAAGAGGGACCAATCTGAAGAGAAGAAGATTCCCAAAGGGGTTCCATTGCAGTTTGATATTAATAGTGTTGGAAAACAGGTAAATGCATTTTCATTGCTTAACTGTGGAAACAGTTTCAAGACAGATGAAAGCCAGTGAGCCAGGCACTTTCCACCTAGACTCACTAGTGACAGGAAGAGGGAACTAGTGACTACTTGTTTCCACTTCCAGTTCTTTCACTAACTTGCTATGTAACTTCATACAAGTAACTAAACTCACTGTTCCTGTTCATCTAGTTCATGTCTTGTGTGCTCACATGTTTTAAATGGGATTTAAAATGTTGAATATTTCTAAAAGCCTTCTTGTGTTCCCGCAGTGCTTGAATCAGCAACTGTGCATAATTCAGGGATGAGTTGTTTTCAGTTGTGTAACCTGCATAGAACCCCAGCAGCTGAATTTATAAAGCAACTTTTGCTATGCATCTAGGGGAAAAAAATCAAATGTAATGATGTAAACGCTTAAAGATGGACAATTTTTCACAAGTTTCATGATGACAGATGATTTGGTGCAGAAATCTTGCTTCTATCATTGAAAGAATTCTTACAGGGTGACCGTTAGATGCTGCTTTTGTAATTGGCTCCTTCTTGCCAGCTGTAGAAAAATACATGGGCTCAGGGCATCAGACTGGATTTTTTCCTTCCATAAATAAGCAGTATGGTAAAAAAGGCCTACTAGTATACTGTAACATTAATTGAACTTTTGGACTAGACTCCAGTCTACTGCATCAGATGGATGGACTGGAAAGCAGCCCTGCATTAACGTAGTTAAATTGCTGCATTTGTTGAAGTTGCATGGAAACTATGTGGGGAAAATTAGTTTAGTGGAAGTTCCCGCTTTCAGTCTGTCCGTCCTCAATTTAACTTGCAGTATTTTGAGCAGACATTGTCTTGACATTGTGTACCATGTGGTTTTAGTGAATTCTGAGAAATGAGAAATGCTAGCTCTTGATGTATAGTCCAATCTGATTTTTAAATGGTGTGGGGAAATGATGAAATCAAATCAAACCATTTTTTTATCCAAGTGAGGCTATTAAGAAATCGCGTGATGATACAGAATGAGTGGAAAAAAATATTGTTGCCTCTCTTACTTTGATTAAATTAACCTAATGTTTTTTAAGACTATAGTTAAATTATTTTATTTCTCAGACAGGGATAACGTTGAACGAACGTTTCGGGATCCTGAAGGAACAAAGAACAGCACTGTCTCAGAACAAAGGGAGCCGTTTTGTAACAGTGGGCTAACCTGACAGATGGACTTGAGCACTGATCTCACCTACCTAAGAAATGGAGATAGAAGTGGGCAGAAGTATACAGCACACATCACTGAAATTCTCTGGACTTCATGCTGAGATGGTGGCAAGAGTTTTCTCTCTTTATTACTTTGAATAGTAAAAGACATGCTGTCCTGAGAGGGGGAAAGTGGGGAAACTGATCTGCTGGAGTGGCACCATCACCTGGCTGGAAAGGATTCTGTGGCCCAGCTGACAACAAACACTGATTTTGGTTCTTGTAACCAAAATACAAAAATCTTAAAAGTTTTTTGTTTTGTTTTTGTTTTTTGTTTATTTGTTTGATTTGGGTTGTGTTGTTTTTTTTTTTCTTGTTGTTGTTTTTGTTTGGATTTTCTTTTTGGTTTTGTTTTTTTTTTATTTAGGAGTGCTCAGTGTCTATTCTTTGACCCCTCTGTCACAAGAAAGGTTGTATGTTTCATTGCAAACCCCATTTTAGGGTTTTTTAGGGACTGCTTGTAAACTTCCCTGTGGGCTGCAGTTTGGCACAGAGCCTCAGTCCATGAATACTTCGGTAGTGATGTAGTGGCATTTTTTTATGGGAGCATTGGTTGGATTTCTTTGTGGTTTTGAAGTTCAGGTTTTTTCCTTTCTTGAAAACTACATGTTTTTCATCCTCACTTTCACAAATAAAGCTGTTAGTTGAGATATCCAAAATATGAAATTGGGATGGAGACTATTCTACTCTTATCCTTAAAAGTGGTCCAGATTGCAGTGGAGGAATACTGCACAGGCAGTATGAGAGTAATTTATATTACAAATAGCTTAATCTCATTATCCTCCTCTGTAAATGGAGTATGTCTGTCTCCTATTTTTTCTTAAACTTTTGCTGTTTCTTTTTGTAACCTTTTTCACAAATTTAATGCAATAACTTTGAAATTTTGAATTACATAGGAATAAATGCAACCATGCACCAGAAAGCCAGTGGTATGGTAGAATTCCTTATCCTCCCCAGACACAGGATTCTCATTTTGCATTCCTTGCCCCAGAGGGTTTTCTCTGGCTCTTGGAAATAGCCAGAGGCAAGCAATCTAATGGCACTTGTTTGTGTATACCAAAGAGAGGAAAGACGTGAAGCTGATCAGAAGTGGTCAGATATCTTAAAATTGTCTGGAACTGGGGAATGTTGCTGGAAGAAAGCCTTCGGTTTGCCAGCACATGCAATGCGTTAAGCCAGGACCATGTAGTTGTTGCTTTACGTTTAGCTTTGTGCATCATGATCTGCAGGATGGTAACAGCTGGGGCATCCTCAGTCTGAATTTGTATGATCCATAAAACTGAGGCACCTGTTCAGAATTGCTTCCAGATCAGGAACTTAACAGTGTTCTATAGCAATGAGATTTAGGTACAGTCAGGCAAAAGAACAACTGGCTTGCTGTATCCAGAAATGTTCAGTGTTTGAAGTGGGTTTAATTCCTTTTATTGTTCTTCAGGAACTTACATTTGCCTTCTTAGAGTTGGTTTCCTTGCATTTTTGTCTCAAATTCCAAGTTAACTGACATTTACCAGGAACTTCAATGTTGAAGAACATTTGACATTAGAAGGGCTTTTGTATAGCAGTTTTAAAGTCAAGAGTGCATCCTGATACTATATAGTACTTAAACCCTTATTTTTAATGTTGAAAAATATACCTTAGGAGAAGCAAACTAATTGTAATGGTGTTAAGGGTTGGTTGGGTTTTGTTTTTTTTCTCTTAATTACTAGTAGGAAATTGGGTTTTTTAAAAAATGTCCCACTGTTAGAATTGGAGTAGATAAAGTGTTGTCAGTCACCCTGTTTCAGTGTATACTTTCTTTGATGTGCCAGGATGCAACGAAAATAACATTTTTTTTGCATCAACATAGATGCAAAACACTGATGCAGTGCATCAAAAAATGCTAGTTTGTATTTAATGAGAAGATGTGTTACACTATACCTTTTGGTATTTTTCAGAGAAGTTATTACATTGGATCTATTCTGAAGCTGTTAATTTTTTTTTTTTTTTAATAAAAAGTTACAGGTTTCATATTGTCTTGTTCCTGTTATAACTACCTAAGCAGTATATTGGTTATGTGAATTTTGTGATATCCTTCAAGGGGTTCTTAATAATTAGATTCTTATTAAATGTTCTGAAGAACATACCAGAAAGGAGGCTCACTTGAGGAGGGCTCACATTCGTTGCCCAGCTTAATATCCTGAAAATGAAGCACTTCTTGGAGTGGCACTGTACAAACTTTCATTTAAATGTGTATTTATGTATTTTTTCAGTAGCATCATCTACTGTAGTGGTTTGGTGTGATTATAGAACCAGATCCCTGACTCAGTCAGACCAAGTGCTGGTTTCGTGTTGCTGTGACATACCTTGCTAGTGAGAAGTGACTGTCACCTGAACCTCGGGTTACAAGATGGGTGTCAACACCCTGAGAAAACAGCCACCACCTGTGGTTCTGAGTGCAGGCTTGTGCTAGCACTGGAAGTGCTGCTGCTTATTGGAGGTGCAGGAAGAAAATGCTGCCTGTAAATACGTTTGATAAGGTGTTGATGAGGAAGAGTGTTCACAGCCTTTGCTCTTCCTTACCAGCTCAAGCCTGCACACTTGCCAGCTTCCCGCAGCAGTTCCAGCATGCAAGCACATCAGTGCTTGCCCAGACCAAGACTGGCGTTTATTTGGACGTTGCAAAGAGTGCAACCTTTTAGGGACTGATGACATCGAGTTGAACACGATCCAGTCAGTACTCTTCCCACCTAGTTCAATCCCTGCGATCTCCCCTTGGTTTGCTGCCTATGCCCAGGAGCTGGTGGGAGGTCAGAAGGGGTCCGGGTACAGCAGCCATGGCCGAGGGGCGGTGCGCGCTCCCGCACGACACATTACCCCCAATCGGACGCACAAAGCGGATGTGCCGCGTTACTTTCAAGAGCTGCCGTTCCTGTGCGCGCAGGTGGTTAGCCGCGCATGCGCACACCCTGCTCCCTCCCAGCCGGTCCCCGGGCTTCCCCGCGCCTGCGCAGGGGCGCGCAAAGCCGGAGCAGTAGCAGCGACGGCGGCAGTGGTGGTGGCGGCGGAGGGGGCGAAATGGCGGCCACGGTGCTGGCGGCGCCGGAGGGCGGTTCCGCCGTGATGCAGGCGGGAAACGCGGCGGCTTGTACTCCGCCACCAGGTCCCTCGGGTCCCGGTTCGTGGAACCGCTCCTTGGACCGAGCCTTAGAAGAAGCGGCGGCCAGCGGTACCCTCAGTCTGAGCGGCAGGAAGCTCCGTGACTACCCGCGGGCCAGCGCCGCCAACCACGACCTCAGCGACACCACCCAGGCTGGTGAGGGACGCGGCGCTGCAGGGAGCGAGATGGCGGGGACGGGGGGTCGGGGAAACGCCTTGCCGTGCCTCCGCGAGCACCTCAGGGCTGGGGGCAGCCGGCGTGTGGGGGTCCAGCGGCTCCCCGTGAGAGAGGGCTCGGGGGGGCTGCCTGTCCCGTCCCGCCCCGTTCCAGGAAGGGTGTTGGGGTGGGAGGGTGACAGTCCCCCGCCAGAATTGAAGCTGAGTTGGTCGATTCGCTGTCGCTCCAGTAAATTCAAGCTGGGTGCATGAAGATGAGGAATATCCTCAGTGGATGTTTGGAGGTGTTCCCCCCCCCGCCGCGAGTTTCTCTTTGAAAGTGCGTGTGTGTGCGGAGGGGGATTCCCGCAGCGAAGCGATGCTTGGCATGTTTCTTAATTTGGGCCGTTTCTCCTTCACCCCTTAGCCTCCTCCCTTCGCCCTCCGCCCTTCCTCTCCTCGGCTGGGACAGGATGGAGGAGCTGTTGCAGGGTACTCCTCCTTCCCCTGCCCGCCGTCGGTCTGGCCGATGAAATCTCTTCATTTATTGTTTTTTTTTTTTTCCTTTGTCGTCTCCACTTTAGAGGTGTTTCCCTTGTTGGAGGCTGTTTTTAAAAGAGTTATGAGGCTTTTCTGAATACTGCTGATCACTGATGCGGTTTTAGCCACACATGTTCTTGTTCTGATGTAGCTGCATGTGATTGTGTGTGCATATGTACACGGGTCTATGGACCCTACCCATCTCGTCTTGTGCTGTTGACAGGGGAAACCAACTTTCCAAGAAGGGCTGTCACGTGTGCATACACTAAAGACAACTGTTTCTTGTGCTCTTATGCTTCTGTTGTTGTCATTTCTGACAGCCATAAGCAAGATATGAAAGGTACTGTAGACAGAATCACATGCCTTTTTTTTTTTCTCCTGCCTCATATGGATAAAAATATTAAGTATTTTTAAGAAACAATTTACAAGGTACAGTAAGCAGTAAGGCTCGTTTTTTCTCTGCGCTCCTCAGTGTGGTCATAGGAATAGACTAAAAACTAATATACTTTCCCTGGAAGCACCTTGATCAAGAAACACGTTTGTGGAGTGTGTTTACATATTACTGTATTGAATAGGGAGAGGAGACTTGGGAATCAGTGAGAGTTTGTGCAGGATGTAGGAGTTTTCGTAATGCATTCTATAGAGCAAATTTAGTTTATGTTTATTTTGATAGTCTAGTTGTATACATGAAGTAAAAGCAGTTTTAAAGGGTGCCAGAATGCCTTTTGTAGCTTCGATTACTTCCTACGCTGTCATTCAGATTTTTTGGTGGTTTATGTGGAGTTGTAGCTTAGGAGCTTGGAAATAAACTCTGGACATCAGTTTTTGAAAGTTACCATGTCTGTTAGAAAGTGTATTGATACACTGTCAACTAAGTACTTCAAAATGGAGCCTTCTTTAAAACTGTCTGACTTTATAGTCTGTCCTGTCATACCCTACTTATGCAAAAATCTGTCACTAATAAAAATAAAAAAAAAAAATCCATCAAACCAAGCCTTGAGACAACTGTGGTTTGCTTGATATGAACGCATCCATAAATAGGAAACACTTCTTGTTGGGGTATAATTTTTTTCGTTGTTGTTCAAAGGGTGTTCTACAAATGCAGTTGCACAACGGATGTGTAGTGGGCTAATCTGTAAGCAAATGCAGCATACACATTTGTGAGGGATTTGGGCTTTTTGTTTGTGATCCTATTCATTTACTGTACTCTTAAACAATTTGTGGGAATTCTTGTTTCCACCAAGGTTCCCATCTGTTGTGATGAATATTTGCATTGTAGTTGTTCAAGAAGCATTAAATGCTAATAAGCAGCAGTGCATGCCATACACTTTTGTGTATTTATCATCACAATGAACTTTAGGAAAAAAAAAAGCTAGAACTGTTCTTAAGTTGTAGGGAGCAAATCTTATTGAGCAGTGTGTGGGAGGGAGGGAGGGACACATACTGTTTAAATTCTCTTGTTTTGAAGGCTGCTGTGAATAACTTCATCTTGTGCCCTTTTTTAGTGTGGTCTGTTCTGTGACTTTTGAGTGAGGCTGGGCAGTGTTTCTGACCCCCACTTTTCAGTTGAGTGGTCAGCTACAATTTAATCTGCTTCTTACCCCACATCAGTTTCATTCTTGTAAAACCTTCAACTATCTTCTATGGGAGCAGCCACGGGTAATATGGTATAATATATATGTGTGCTAGGTGTTAGAAATACTGAAACACTTTAACTAACCCCCTAGATTGTATACTCCAAATGCCTTCCTGCATGCTGGGCCACAAATATACAGGTGGGGTATGTGTGTGTGGAGTTTCGTAAAAATCATTGGAATTACTCCAAAACTGTAAAAATGAAGACAAAACAATGTATATGCAAACCTTACTTCTTTTTACATGACACTTCTCTAGTGTTGATCATGTTATACTGGTATAGCTCATTCCCATTCTTGTAGTAATAAAAGTAATTGCATGTCACTGTAACTGCATTGATGCTAAAGAGGTGGGAATGAATTGCATCTCTCATTAACGTAACTACACTGGTAGAAAACCAGCATCTAGCATAGCCTTAAGCTTTAACAGAATCACTGGCCTCGTGTGGAAACTGTTGTTAATGCAGATGAACCAGCACAGTGGGTCAGCAGGAACAGGATGTTAGAGGTTAGATGCTTGATCAAGTTAGGGGCTCTGTGAAGATTCTGAAATTGATGGGTGGGGGAAAATCCCTTTAAATACATGTCACCCATAAGGTACATTTTCAAAACATTAAATGAATGGGAAGATCATATTTCTTTGGATCCTTTATGGCTTCAGAGTTGACAGTGATACTAACCCTAGTGCTCAAGCTGTAATAGCTTCAAAGTAGCATTCTTAACGACGCACTAAACAATCATCAGAGCCAAATTTGTGGCGTGTGTAACTTAACTCTGGAAAAATACTTGACAAACAGATCACAGAATCAGTTGGAGGGATCCATAAGGATCCTTGAGTCCAACTTGCTGCCTTTCGCAGGGCTACCTAAAACCAAACCACATGACCAGATCAGGTTTGCTGCATTTTTATTCTGGAAATAAATCTATTTTTTCCACTGATGCCTAACAGAAATACGAAGTTCCTCATTAATCATTTGCCATAGTCACTAAACTTTTCACTGGCAAGTGAATTGTCTAATAATGTCAAGCCTCAGCTGCTTCTGGCCACTGCCATCTTCCATGTGGGGAATACCCACAAGCAGCTTTTAAAACCAAGATCAGTGCCCAAGGTTGCTCTCAGAACAGAGCAGGTGAACTCAGCAGGCATTGAAGTAATAGTGAATTTCTGGTTTGCTTGTACATTGACTGGAATTAAGATCACGTAATATAAAATCAGATTGAAGATGGGAAGGTCTGTGCTTGAGAGCTTTGGAATGGATTAGCGGGAAGGTAGCTCCCCACAATGTGTGAGGCAGTAGTTCATCTGACGTTCTTGTACATGTGGAGTGGCTCATGTACAAGAAATGCACTGTAATAACAACTTAGATACTGAAAGAGGGGAGAGCAGCTGTTATGTATGCTCATCCCTTACAACTTAATTGGAATTTTAGGAAGTGACTCAAGCTTTCAGCATTCATTGATAATGAAGAATGAGCAAGCTTCTTCATTAACAAATCAAGGATGTGCTTCTCTCTTTCTTTCATACTCTTTCCTTTAATCTGCATTGTCTATCCCCGTTTTGTCTGGGTTGAATTACAACCCATTTGTTCATCCCACTCTTGTGCTCAACCAGGGAATAGGAAAAGGAAGGGCTATAAACCATCTGAAAGGAAGCACAGTTGCATTTTGCCAGTGTTAATGTAGATTCTGATGTCATTATTTGACAGCTTTCCCAGTGGCCTAAAGCATACATTGAGCAGAAAAGTTATTTGTCAAGCCCTTTGTGACAGCTGTAATTATCTAAACCACTCACTGTCTCCATTTTTAAAGGGAAAGATGGGAATATGGGGTTTTATGCAATAAAAGAAATGGCTGTAGTGTGGGAATCAGGTCGTGAGATCATTATATGCAGTGTACTACATCTTGTTTCTGGAATATATTAATAGTGAGAAAAGATAGCAAGACTCTGAAAATTAAGAAAAAACTTGTCTGCTACTACCTTTTTGCATGCCTTTGCCAGTAAGGTGTCTGTAGTTTTGGTCTTGACAGCTCTCCACAGAAAAAGTATAATCCGACCATAGTGTCAATAAAATTTCTACGTGCAGAGTGCTTGCTTGCATTTAGAAAGATTACAGTGACTTTATCAGTGATCTGCAGAAAGAGCTCTCACTGATATTTTTCTTTCCTGCCAGAGCTTGAGTTGATATTGCCTGATGAAATGCAAAAACAACTTGAGAAGTACACTCTGGCACATAGAGCAGTGGCCGTATTTCCCCAACATTTATACTCAAAAGCCGCAACAGCAGAATCTAAACCAGCCTAAAATTAAAAAACTGTTTGGAAAAAAAACCCAACAAAACCTCTTTGGGTTACTGTATCTAGAATATGATTTTATAGCGATCTTTAAGGTAATTTGCAAGGAAATGGGATTGTTCTGTGTTCAAGTCACAGGCTATTTGTCAGAGGAGTTTACAGTGTTGCTACTTAGATTATCTGAAGTTTCAGTATTAAAAATAAAAACATTTTATTAGGGTAGTCCAGAGTCTTGTGCTCAGATTTCTATATTTACACCTACCCTTATCAAAACCCAAACAGAAATACACTCTCCCAAGGTTCTGGTAGCTGTATGGGAAAGAAGGAGGGAGGATGGCAATCTTTCCCCAAACTATAGATGGTAGTCTAGCTTGTTGCATTTTTTGATTTTTACCTCCTTCTTGTGTCAGTCTCTTTATAATTTGACTATTGGTCTACCTTATTTTCTTTCAAGTTGTGTTTCTGTTATTATAAAGTCTTGATCTCATACATGTTCTGTGTGTAAATACTGGCAATTCTTAGTCTAGGTTAATGG